AAAAGTCCAAGTCTTATCTACACATTGGGCACATCTACATGTGCTATTGAGGTGAAGCAATAAGGTCCAGCATGTTTAGCCAGGTCAGAGTAGCCCCAGCTGGCAGAGGGGTCAGGGGGTCAGCCTGCTAGCCCAGGGCTACTCCAACCTGGTTCAACATGCTGCAGAGGGGCTGGCTGGGGCACAAGGGTGGCTTGCTGCCCCAGCCACATCAGTGTCTATATGTGCAGTGCTGTGGAGTTAAAACTGCAAGTACTACTATTTATAAGTACTATCCCACTGTGCAGTTAATTAGTTTCCTGCAACCTAATAGGGCTGCATGTGTAGATGCAAGAAGTTTACTGAAGAGCTAATTAGTCTACTCTTCAGTAAACTTCTTATGTAGATGTGCCCATTGTCAGCTTTCTTGGGAAGGTGTCAGAGTTTTCTCATCCATCAAAACACTGCCTGAGTACTGACCTGAAAACTCTTACTCTAAAAATCAGGGGCGGGCAAATATTTCGGGTAAAGGGCTGCTTACTGAGTTTTGGCAAGCCATCAAGAGCCACAGGACAGGCAGCTAGAGGCAGATAACTATTATTTTTCTAAATTTTTTTAAGGGCCCTACAGGCCAGATAGAATGACCTGGCGGGCCGCATCTGGCCTGCAGGCCACATTTTGCCCACCCCTGCTTTAAATAATTTGGAATAAAAAATTCTGACATTGTATAAGGATCAGAAAAGTTCCAGAGAAGTGTAGGTGCTCGTGAATTATCATGATGATCAGATCCTTTGAAAGACATTATAGAGGAGAAATTGGAGGGCATGCCCATTGACATCCCCTTGTTTGCAAGGTGTAAGTTTCCTGGGTTCACTCTCCCTGATCAGGAAGTTTCTCGAAAGCCCATGAGGTATGCTGCTCATCAAGTAAGGTAATGTTTTGTAAAAAATTCGAATCACATTCTCATCCTAGAGCTTGAAGTATACTTCTTATTACACTTATCGACTTTGAAACCTAGGTCTCACTCTATTACTTCCCTATGGCATTCAGTTGTGCTCACATGCATGCAGCTCCCATAACTGGCAATGGGAGTTAAGCCTGAGGTGGGCCAGCAGGACATGCCTTATGTTTTCAGTATTCTAGCTTATTATATACTTGTCTTTTCTAATAGTAGTAGGGATAGTAAGGCATCTAAAATTTTATTTTCATGACATAGTGGGTATGTCTACACATGCATTTATATCACATTAATTTACTGGGCAGTGAGTAACTGTGCAGTAAGTGGAAATAGGCCACTAGTACACATGCAGGTGTTAAAGTGCATTAAAGCTGTGTTCACAGACACACAGTGTTACTGCACAGTAACTAATCGAGAGTAAATTAGATATCTGCATGATGCAGGTATCTAATTTACGCTCAAGTTAGTGTAAGTGGCCATAGTTACTGTGCAGTATGGGTATTCATGTGTAGATACGTGCCTGTACTGTGCAGTAATTTAGGATACTGCACAATAAATGTGCACATGTAGATGCACCCACAGGAATGAATAGCAAAGGATTAACAACACAAATCCTCCCCCGTGTTTCATATACTGAAGATCAGGCCTGTGTGAAGTGGTTAGTATTTGCTTTGGATTCAGATTTGGCCAATTCAGGGGACAGTGATTCATTTTGGTGATTTGAATCACTGTCCTGATTCGATTCAGCCGAATCTGATTCAGAGATTGGATTGCTGCCAAATCGCCGAATCAGCCAGGCCCATCCCCTGCCAGCTCTCCCAGTCCAGCAATGGCTGCCCTGCCCACCCCAGCTCCCAGCTCTATGGAAAAAAAAAAGCCCCAACTCACCAGGTGCTGCCAGGCAGGGGGGACAATCCCCACTGCCCCCCCCACTGCCCCATGCTGCATGGGGGGGCTTTGCATGCTCCCTCAGCCCTCCATGGGTGCCCCGCCTAGGCCAGCTCCAGCCCTTTAAAGAAAGAAACCCTAAAAAAAACCCCTGGACTCACTGTTCCTGCTAGCAGGGGTGATCCCTGCTGCCCCCTACTATCCCGTGCCATAATCGAGGCTCTGCATAATACCTGCCCCCAAAACCCCGAGGCTGCTGCAGGAAGAGTGAGTCCCGGGGCTTGTCTCCAATTTTT